TTCTAGAGGGGAGGGGGGAGGGGGATGGGTTATCCTGGTGATGGGTATTGAGGAGGGCACGTTCTGCATGGAGCACTGGGTGTTATGAACAAACAATGAATCATGGAACACTGCACCAATAACTAATGATGTAATATATGCTGATTAACATAACAATAAAAATTAAAAAAAAAAACTTGCTGATCCAGCCTTAACACCTTTTTATTCTTTCCCTCCACTCCATCACCGTTGTCATTCCCTTAGTTAAGACTTACAATTTAAGTCACTTGAGTGACCACCATGACATTTTTAGTGCTCTTTGCCCCGTCCCATAATTTGTCTAAATTTCCTTAGTTCTGTGTTGAGTACTGATATGACCATGTCACTTTTCCCCTTAAGATTGCCTAATGATGACTGATTGACTCTTTAGATGGGACATAAGGCCACATTATTGTCTTCCATTCTCCCTTCACACCCACATTATATTAAACCAGATAACATGGAGACTTTCTATTACCCAGAGACTCCGTGCTCTTGTTCTTCTTTTTTTAAATAGTCTTGTCTCTCTCCCCAAAGCACCTTTCTTCCACTCTTTTCACCTAACTGATCTTTTAAAATTCAGTTTAGTTTTCACCTCCTCTAAGGACCATTTCCTAACTTCTGCTTTTAAAAATAGGTCCACACAGATTTGCGCAGTGGCAGTATCGTAGCCAATGAGGTTTATCCGAGGCGCAATTATTGCTAATTGAAAAATAGGTCCACAAATTCTTTGATATTTCTCCCTTCGAGAGATGAAGCTAATGGGCTAGACTTGGGGACTTGCTTCTAACAAATAAAATAGGCAGAAATGACAGTGTGTTGCTTCCAAGAGTAGGTTCATAAAGACTGCAGCTTCCTTCTCGGTTGTATTCTCTATCTCAGATAACTTTTTCTGGAGGAAGCCAGCTACCATATCATGAGGCCCCTTGTGCAGGCTATTGTAAGTACAGTAACCAGTCAGGAACTGAGGCCATCTAACAACCACATAAGTGAAGTTGGAAGTTGATCCTTCCCCAGTAGAGATTTCAGATGAGATCGCACCTCTAGCCAGTGGCTTGACTACTACTTCATGAGAGACCTTGAGCCAGAACCATGCATCTAAGCTGCTTCCAGATTACTGACCCACAGAAATTGGCCATGTTGTGTTATTTATTAAACTGTTAACTTCTAGAGTGATTTCTTAACTTTATCTTCACTCTTATAACACTCTGTGCTTAACTCTATGGAGCCACCTATAACATTGTTGAAATTGTCTGTTAATTATTTTAATTTCCCTATCAGATGGTGAATACCTTGAAAGCAAGAAGTATGTTTTTAAACTACATATTGAATAGATAAATGAATATAGCAGAAGATTCCCACTCTTGAACTTATATTCTATTGAGAATATTACCACATATCGAATAAAAGCAAATAAAAGATGCTCTATAAAAGACTGTAACCTTAGTTGGTACAGATTCCATCCTACAAGAGTTCAGGGGAAGAAGAGACATGTGCTGGGGCGCCTGGGTGGCTCAGATGGTTAAGCGTCTGCCTTCGGCTCAGGTCATGATCCCAGGGTCCTGGGATCGAGCCCCACATCGGGCTCCTGGCTCAGCAAGGAGCCTGCTTCTCCCTCTCCCTCTGCCTCTCCCCCTGCTCATGCTTTCTCTTCTCTCTCTCTGTATCTCTGTGTCTCAAATGAATAAATAAAATCCTTAAAAAAAAAAAGAGAGACATGTGCAAGCTAATGGGGTCCAAGGAAGCCCCATGGAGGTGACAATGGAGGTGCTGAACTTGAATAAGATGTGGTTAGACAAAGGAAGGGAAGTCATTTTTGGAATAGGGGCTACTTTTATCAAAGTCATGGTAGGATGAGTATGCTCACGGAAATATTTGAGAGTCCATCAGATCCAGATAGTCTGAAACAAGGAAGCTTATGTGGATCAACATTCAGTATTAAGCAACAAATAAATTAAGCTGAGGCCAGATTATGGGAACCTTGAAACAGGGCCCCTGTGATGGTTAATTTTTTTGTGTTAACTTGACTGAGTCACAGTGTTCAGATATTCAGTCAAATATTATCCTGGATATTTCCATGAGGTTATTTGTGGATGAAATTAACATTTGAATCAGTAGACTGAGTAAAGCAGATTATCCTGCCTAACGTGGAGGCTCATCCAATTAGTTGAAGGCCTACATAAAACAAAAAGGCTGAGTGAGATACAACATCCCCTGCCTGACTGTTGAGCTAAGACACTGCTCTTTTCTGGCCTTTGGACTTGGGCTGAAACAGCTCTTCTTGGGTCTTGAGCCTGCCAGCCTTCAAACTGCAACAACACTAGCTCTCTTGGGTCTCCAGCTTGCCTACTCACCCTGCAGATCTTGAGAGTTGCCAGCCCCCATTACTGCATGAGCCAATTCCCTATAATAAATCTCTTTCCATGTATTTATATATCTGATTGGTTGTCTTTCTTTAGAGAACCCTAATACTGACCCTACAATTACTTTCTTCTTCCTAAAGGAAGGAGAAATAGAAAGTCTTTATTCATTCAAAATTCATTTATGTGAATTTTGAGGCTATACTTTGGCAGCCCACAGAAAACGGAAAAAAAAAAAACAACTAAAAGTGATAGAGAACACTTTGTCTCACACTGAGAAAATATCCCCAAGAAATATTTTCTGTAATACCTAATGCCATTATAAGGTTTTCAAAAATGTCTTAAAATAATACATTATTTTAAAAAATGCTAAGCTAATATTAAAATGACTAACTTTTATACTTCATAGAGGTGCTGTAGAGTTCATGTTTCTAGTCATATTTGTGATCATTCTCTCTGCATTACAAAAATGGACATTCTTTTTCAGTTACAGTTTAAATGTTTAAAAAATCTAAACGGTGATGTGTCTCTTTTGCATCATAACTGGTGTAGGTGGCCCATTACAACTTTAATCATAATTAGTTGTGTATTCTAGATGCACTGCCTGAGATAATAATAGAATTTAAGGAACAACCCCATGCATCTGCACTTGGACTTCCTTTAAACATTTTTGTTATAAACTGTTATAAAGCCCTTCACTTCCTCTCCAACTCATTCCTTTAAGGAGGCTCAAGCAGGTGCTGGCTTTGACTAGCAGTTTCTAACCATATTCTTTTTAAACCATCCCCCACTTTTGAAATTACATTTTATTTTAGTGCTAGTTGTCATATTATAGTGGTTGCAGTAACGCTATTGGCAAAAAACATTATCATTTTCCCCCTACATACAAACTAAATTTCTCAGTGCTAATCAAAACTCCCTTGCTTTAAGAACATAAAAACTTTCATTAATTCATTGGGTGAATTGAGTGAGGGAGCAGATGTAGTTTTCAGAAACAGAGGCACCAAGGCCAGTGGAAAGTAAATTGGTCAAGAGAAGAAAAAATCATGCAGAAATTTGGGAGATAAAAGGACAATTTAAATAATGGAACGCTATTACCTGAATTGTGTGGGGGCAATTACTGTTTTCTGGTCTCTGTGGGATGATGGAATTAAAAGTCCAATCAGAACACTGATGATGAGCTGGAGCACTGTTGCAAGTGTAAGAAGTAGATTTCCTTTATTTTCCTTTTTTTTTAAATAAAATAAAGGTTTAAGAACCAACCAAAGCCTTAAGTTAGTACCTCTCAAATAAAACATGAGTTTTTTTCCCCTAGATTACTTAAAAATGGGCGCCTACAACAACTAGGTACAATAGTAAGATACTACACTAGGCAGTACAAGAAATAAAAATATGTGATTAGATTTAGCTACTAACCTTAAGAAGTTTCTAACGGCTATTTTCTATTTGTGCTTCAATTAACATAACCTTTTCTTCTAACGTTGTATCCAGAAGCTCTCTATGAGCTTGACTTTTCCTACCTCTTCCCCTAGTCTCCACCTAAACGTCCTCCCCGCCTACTGTTCTTCTCCCACTGAATTCCAAGCCATTATCTGTTACAACTAAGCCATACACACAAACAATATACTTACTGCCTTGGGTGTTTGCTATTTTACTCCTCCATAGCAACTTACAAATGATTATTTTTTATATACATTATCACATTTAATCATCTTAGCAACCCCTCCATTGGATAAGTAGTATATTGCCCCTAACTGAAGTTACAGTTTTTAGAGTTGAAGAATAGCTAGTTTAAGTAACAAACCCTACAGGAACATCATTTTGCATCTACCTGAGGGCTTTTCCCCCAGACCATATTGCCCTTCATGAAGGAGGATCATAGCTCTGTCACTGCAATTGTAAAAGTTAGTTTGGGAAAGTAGTTCAAAAATGAATACCTATTTATTAACATTGTCTGTTGTAATTTGTAGGCTTCTAAAAAGGAGAAACCAAATTTGCTAAATTCGCTCTTGTCATCACAAACTGTCAAACATTTAGGCATTCAGCAAACAATAAAAATATGCAGGGTATTATCACACTTTTGGACTCTTCAGATAAAGATGATTGTTTTGTATACTTACAATAACAGTAATGCAACAAACTGGATGGAGTTGTTTTGCTACTGATTTTATAGTATAATCTTCATTATGAAACAAATCCTGTAAATAACCTTTGCTTTTTATCTATTGATTGTGCTTTTGTATATCATTACAAACAAGGGTTTGCAGTAAGAGGGAAAAAAAACCCCATTATTATTTTTTAAATTTTATTTTATTATGTTATGTTAATCACCATACGTTACATCATTAGTGTTTGATGTAGTGACCCATGATTCATTGTTTGCGTGTAACACCCAGTGCTCCATGCAGTACGTGCCCTCCTTAATACCCATCACCGGGCTAACCCATCCCCCCACCCCCTCCCCTCTAGAACCCTCAGTTTGTTTCTCAGAGTCCATAGTCTCTCATGAAAAAAACCATTATTTTATATAAGTTATATTCTTAACACAAAGGCTGCATTTTACAGAATGGCACAGAATGAATTGTAAGGTGAATGAATTCTGTGCCATTGATTACTTTTTTCTTTACCATTAGTGAGTGAACTTTAAATTTTATAATTTATGTATTAAGGAAGAGGGAATACTATTTTCTAGTTGGCATTTTGTCCAGAAACACACATATTTTATAGGTAATTGAAAAGCCTTGTACTGCATTTCTTCCTCTTGTGTTTGAATGAGGAGAATTAGGGCTTTTTCTGTGTTTATGTCACTTTGAAGTAAGAAAGGCAACTTGTGGCATAGTGGACATAAACTCTAGATCAAGAAATGATGTTGGAAATTATCCTATTTCTAGCAATAGTTGTCCATCAGAGTGATAAATGATTTTTTTTGATAAAGACTTTCACAGTGGACTTGTTGGCTAATCCAGCGATAATACAAATGAACCAAACCATGAGTTGTTCTGCCTGTGTCTACGTGTTCATTAAAAATGCTGTAGGATCATTATCTGAATTATAACTCTTCTAGATCCTGTAATTACTTAAATAAAATTGAAGTATATTTAAGAAAATCAATCTTCTGTCCTACTAACAGGTATAATGTCCTCCTAATGGGATCTCTCGTATCCTCCCTCTGCAACATCCATCTTTTTGATTAAACTTCCTGACCATCTCTAAAGAATGACTAATTTTGTCAGCAGAGTAGCCTCCTCACCTGCTTCTTGCTTAGAGCAAGTTGGGAACCCAGAGGCCTTACTGCAATTTGAACACTCAGTCCTTTTTAATCTAGACTTAATGACCGCTCTTTTGCTATTAGGCACCTATGGGACTCTGCCCTCAAATTTCCTAGAAAGCTTTTTGTCCAGTTGAGAAGGCCTACCAGGAA